TTGCCTCCTCCCCAAAGCACTGGCATGGGCAAGCAAGCAGCATCTAGTGGATGCCATGGTAGCAAGTCAGCTTCTGGAAGGTTTGGGGTGGTCTGGAAACGTGGTGTTGAAGGGAGTGGGGTGATGGTGGCGATAAGGGACAGCACTAGCCATTGGCCAAATACCTGCTCTGTGTCAGGTGCTGGGGACACTGAGAATGAGCCTAGTCTAGTGGGGGAGACACATAAAGAATAGTATCATAAAAGTTGCTGTTATAGGGCAGGGGGCTGGTGAAGTCCGTAGGAGGAACACCTAACTATGTGCGCATGTGTGTCTAGCAGGTATGGGGGCTGTGAAGTAAATTTGGGGTGTTTGCAGAGGAGTTGATCTTTGAGCTAAGTTTTTTTTTTTTAATTTTAAGAAGATTTTATTTATTTATTTAAGAGAGAGAGAAAGCGAGAGACAGAGCATGAGCAGGGGGCGGGGGCGGCAGAGGGAGAGGGACAAGCAGAGCAGGGAGCCCAATGCAGAGCTCTATCCCAGGACCCTGAGATCATGACCTGAGCTGAAAGCAGACCCTTGACTGACTGAGCTGCCTAGGTGTCTCTTGAGCAGACTTGAAACTATGATTAGGAGATGGACTGGACACACTGAGGATGGGCTCTTGGAGAGAATGAATGGCTTGTAAGGGCTTTGAGGTGTGAGAGGCCAAGGCCTGTGCATCAGCGAGATTGGTGCCTGAGCAGGTGTGTTGTACTTGGTAGTTTTCTCCTCAAAGTTATGAGACATCACTGGGCTTTCACCTGAGGGGTGACATGCTGAGATTTGAATTTAAGATCACTCTGGTGGCAGAGCTGAGATGGAGTTGGAATGGCGGCAAGGTTAGGGTGGCAGGAGAGTCCAGCCATCCAGGAGCACAGGGATGGGGCCACAGCTCAGGCAGTGACACAGAGATGTGTAGTATTGAGGATGCAGGTGGCCTAATTAGCACCTGGAGGGCAGTGAGGGGAAGCAGGAGCCTAGGAGGACAGCCATGTTTCTGGTTTGGGTTAGGTCAATGGTGGTGTTATTTGTGGCACAAAGGGATACTGAGGGAGGTGGGAGGTCCAGGTAAGGTTTCTTTTAAGTCTGCTTTAAATGCAGACTGGAGTGCACTGGGAGGCAAGAGGAAAGGGTGGTGGTTGAGGATGCCAGAGCAGCGCAGGTGGAGGAGATGCTCCCCTGGGCACCGGTGAGGTTGAGAGATGAGTCCAGGGATCCCTGGGTGGCTCAGGGGTTTGGCGCCTGCCTTTGGCCCAGGGCGCGATCCTGGAGTCCCGGGATCGAGTCCCGTGTCGGGCTCCTGGCGTGGAGCCTGCTTCTCCCTCTGCCTGTGTCTCTGCCTCTCTCTCTCTTTCTCTGCCTATCATAAATAAATAAATAAATAAATAAATAAATAAATAAATAAATATCTTTTAAAAAAAAAGAGAGAGAGAGAGAGAGAGAGAGAGAGAGAGATGAGTCCAAGGGGCCTGGTGTAGATGTGAGGAGAGAATGGCAGAGTCACGGTCTGAGTGGGAATAGGAAGGTTAGAGCTCTCAGGGATTTGCAGGGATTAGGGTTTATCGAGATTTACCATTATGACTCCCCATGTTTAAATCGTACCGCGGTTACTGTGTGAGCTCTGGCAAACTTGCCTGAGCCTCAATTTCCTCCTCTGTAAAGTGGGGTGAGATTGTATCAACTTTCTGGGATTGTTGTGTAAATTAAGTGGAATAACCTGCAGAGATCACCCAGAGCACAGTGGGTGCCCTGTCGCCTGCCAGCACTGGGCCTGCACTAGCTCATCACCTGGTGAGATCAGCAGGATTTCTTGTGATCGTGCTCTTAGGGGATAGTTAGATAAATTATTTAATGCAGTTTGTTCTGAGAAAACATTTCAAACTATATTTTGGGGCAGAGGAATAATAAAAGGGATCCTTATGGTGAAAAGGTCGAAGCTCAAAGTTGTGGTGCGACCAGCCAGAATCTCCAGGTGAGCTAGAGGGAACACCAGGACTTCTGCCGAACCGCCCTGGGGTGGGGTGTGTGGGCAGAACCTGGCAGTACTCAGCCCCCCTTCTGCTACCTCGGTCCCTCCGCCCCGTCCTTGGCTGTTAACAGCTTCTAGACCTGCGGCTTCCCTCCTCACAGGTCCGCCTGTGCGGCCCGGCTGGGATCATCCAGGAAACGCCTTGTAAGTCGGGCAGGTGTGGCTGTGGGTGTGGGAAGGCCCCTTGGACGTGAGTCAGCGGGCCTCCTCCCTGGTGAGTCAGGGGTGGGGGCCGGCTGGCAGGGAGGAGGCGGAGCAGGGAGGGGCCGGCCAGCACAGGTCTCCACCACCAGGGGGCAGGAACCAGGCCGGGGAAAAGCAGCCCCAGTGCTGGAGGCCTCTGGCCCCAGGGCCGGTGGACGTGGAGCCGAGACAGCTCCGCGGGCTGGGCGTGGGCGGAGTCGCTGCCGGCGACGTGCCCATGGCCCAAGTGTGCCCCGGTTTCTCTGCCTTCGCGGGCAAGTGGGGACTGAACTGGGATTGGTCGCTGGGGTCATTCTCTCCAGCCCTCCTGTCTGCTGACTGGGAGGGAGCTGCTCCACTCGCTGTGAGTCAGCGGCATGTGATTCTCGCCAGTGTCAGGCCTCTGGCCCCTTGATGGGCACCATGGGGCCTCAGTTCCCGAGGAACAGGCCTCCCGGTGCCGCTCTGGCAGTCGGTGGCTCTCTGGCATACCCCTCACTGTGCCCCCCACCCTCCACCCCGTTCGTTCCTGTGGCCTTCTGGACTTTCTCCCTGGCTCCAGGGTCTCCAGCCTGCCCCTGGGGCGATTGCGCAGCAGCTTCCCTCCCTGGGCCCCAGGGCTGGAGCTGGCAGTTCCTCAGGGGGGTTCCTCAGGGATTTATAGCTTCCGGAAGCTGTTTTCCAGTGTCTAAGTGTCACTCCTGGGATCTGAGAAATCATGATTTGGTGGCAGAGCCAGTGTTGTGATTTGGGAGGTGAGAAAGTACCCTGGCTCCTAAATACCATCCCTAGTGCCCCCACTGCGTTCAGTAACCACAGACACGGTTGGCACCGGGTGTGAGTGACCCTTTGCTCATGCAGAACTGAACGAGACCCAGTCCTCGCCCAGTGAGCTCACCATGTGGGAGTGAGGGCAAGAGAAGACAAGCCCTCGGCTGACTCAACCCAGAGCAGATGCTCTAGTCCTTGTATGGGACAGAGCAGGTAGAGATGGAATCTGGCTGGCCTGGGGAAGTAGGTGGCCTTTAACTGACCTTTGGGGGGTAGCTGAGATTTCAGCAGGAAAGAGGGCTATGAGGTGCAGGGGCCAGCATCCGTGACAGGTCTCATGGTGAAGGCAGAGCTGTGCCTGAGGCAGGTAGGCTGTGTGCAGAAGAGGCCCCAAAGCAGGTGGGGCCAGAGTCAGGGCCCTCAGGGCCAGGCTGTGTATGGGGTCCACGGGCCGCAGTGCCCTCTGAGCCTGAGAGGCCTTCTCTCAAGAGCACTCCACTCACTGGGCTTTACCTGTGGGGTGCAGTAGGGTTTGATGGGGAGGGTCAGTCAGGGAGGGGTCCACCAGCATTGGGAAGGAGGGGACATGGGGGTTAGGGGGGCTCCAAGGCCTGAGTCCATCTGCATGGGTCAGTCTGCCACAGGTCCCATGGTGACCCTGGGCAGGGGCAGCCCAGCATCTATGTGACCCTGTCACATCTATCCCAGCTCCTCCGCACTCACTCAAAGCCCCCAGGGGTGCCCCACGAAGGGCCCTGTGCCAGTGCCCTCTCCCCAAGCACTGCCCCGGCTTTCCGGCCTTCTGAGAGGAGGCGGGTGCCGCTGAGTCACTGCCTGGGTATCTGGGGCTGGAGCCATGGCTGAGTCACCTGGGACCAGGGCCCGGGGGGGATGGGAAGGGAGCTGCTGGACATCTGGAAGGGGGAGGGGGGCTGGGCGGAGGCAGGAAGGGCAGTGCCAGCACTGGGGGGGGGGGGACCAGGGGCAGTGGACAAAGAGACTGGAGCCCGCTCATCCCTGGCAACACCTCCCCTGGGCTGGGCCCTGAGTGGCTGCTGGGTTTGGGGAGGAGCCTGGCAGGATGGGGTGACCAAGGGCGGTGGCTGTGCCCTGCCCCAGGCTTGGCCTCCACTGGGGAAGCTGTCTGCCCTGCTCACTTGCCCACCCCCCACACTGGAGAGAGGATCCTGGCCTTCCCTGCTCCCTGCAAACCTCCAGGGTCTTCCTCACAGTCCTGCACAGAATGCTCACCCCACCAACCGTAGACCGCACCCTGACAGCGCCCAGACCAACAGGGCGAGCAGAGCCTCCGCCTCCTGCCTCCCGGACGCGCCTCCTGCCCACGGGGCCTCTCAGCGTGTTCTCTGCACAGGCTTCCCTCATTACCTTACCAAGAGGAATTCCCAGGCCAACCACGAGGCTCCCCTAGCTCCTTTTTTTTTTTTTTTAAAGATTTTATTTATTCATGAGACACACAGGGAGAGGCAGAGACACAGACAGGGGGAGAAGCAGGCTCCATGCAAGGAGCCTGATGTGGGACTTGATCCCAGGACCCCAGGATCATACCCTGGGCCAAAGGCAGGCGCCAAACCGCTGAGCCACCCAGGGACCCCACTCCCCTAGCTCCTTAAGTCAGCTTGCACACATACACACACTCACACACTCACACGCACATACGCTCACATACATACACACTTACACGCCTGCCCGGGAAGTCCCTGGGAGCCTGTATCCTCTGACTCACAGATGAGCTGTGACTTGCAGGCATGTGTCAGAAGAGGCCTGGCATGAGATGCTCAGCCCACCAACGGGGGCCACTGCCCCTCACCCTGGGCCTGGGCTGCCCCTTCCCCAGATACCTCCCACTCCTCTCTGCGACCTGGGTGAGGCCTTTCTTTCCAGCTGGTGGTGGAGCTCAAGGTGTCTGGGAGGGAGGGGGCTAGCCAGGAGTGGGTGGGGGTGGCAGGAGGCCAGACTCTGGCGGGATCAGGTTAGGGCAGGTTTGGGGGCCAGAGGGGCAGGCATATAAACCCCACTGTGCACACCTGGCCCTCTGCTTTCCTTGCAGAGTGTGTCTGTCATCATCGGGTCTGGTGAGTACCTCCATCCTGCTGAGGGCTGGTTGGGGGGGGGCCCTGGGTCTCTGCCTTATTCCTGTGTCTTGACCCTTGTCTCCATACTTTCCTCATTCTGGATCTTTCCCTCTAGGGGACCTTGTTTGAAGTGTGGGAATGAGGGCTTTTCCCAGGCTCCTCAGTGAGGTCTCAGTGTGGGGGTAGCTCTGAGGCCTTCTCTTGGGTCTTATTCTGGGCATCTCAGTCTAGAGACCCTTCTTGGGGGTCTAGGCCCAGGAATATGAGGTGTGGAGGGTGGTGCTGTAATGAAAGTCTTGACCTTGGTTTTTGTTTTTGTAAAGTCCTGGGTTCTAGCAGGACTGAGGGAAAGAGCCAGGGATCTCAAGTACCTGGGTCCTGCCCTGAGTGGCTGCACGGTCCCCTGCCCTCTTCCTTCTCAACTTCTCCCCTTGGAGAAGGCAATGCTAGCGGGGTGGGCCCAGGGCACTCCTTGGCCCGGGGCCCTCACCCCAGGACCCCCAAGCTTCCCAGGGCTGCTCAGAGCATTCTCAGGGGCAGAGCCGTGGAAAAGATGGCCTCTGAGTTCTGCCTGCTGTTCCCAGGGCACAGGACATGCAGTTCCTTTAGTACCAATTGTAATAGGATCCTTCTTGGTGGGGAGGGTTGTTCAGTGGCCTCCACCAGTTCCCTGTCTGATTGAGACAATGCCCCCTCCCCTGGTGGCTCAGAGGTTTCCAGTGTGAGTGAAGATCCATCCCTGTCCTCTGAGAGTCCTTAGTCCAGTGGACAAAACACACTTGCCCAAGGGCACTGCCTCCGGCCTTACGGGCCCCTCGTATATGAGGGAGATGACTCCTCGGGGACTCTCATACCCTGGGCTGCAGCTGTGACTGACTAGCCTGTGGAGAGGCCACCTTCCCGGTGCTGGCACAGAGCCCACTGGTCTGTGGAAGAGGCTCCATAGAGAGGACAGTAGGTGGGACTCTGGCCACCTGCTCATTTCCCTTTCCATAGACACTCAAAGTGGGGAGCCCTGCCCTCAGGGCTGTGCCGCAGGTGCGATCGGAGGAGACACGAAGCCCTGCCCTTGGTGATTTCCAAACACGGGGAAGAGTTTAGCATCTGCCTGCAGCGGGCAGTGGATGTATAGCTTCTACCCAGGGAGGCAGTGTCCGGACAGACGCAGAGAGGAGCACAAGGGCTGAAGTGTCTCCATCACTTGCCACCCCTGTGCCCCAGATCCAAGATGTCCAGTCCCCTGGAGCAGGCGCTGGCTGTGATGGTCTCCACCTTCCACAAGTACTCTGGCCAAGAGGGTGACAAGTTCAAGCTGAGCAAGGCGGAGATGAAGACACTTTTGCAGAAGGAGCTGCCCAGCTTTGTTGGGGTGAGTGGGGCTGGCTGGGATGAGAGGGTCCTAATGTGTGTGTGTGGGGGGGTTGCTGCTGCAGGGGGCTGAGGCCCCAGTGGGAGTACCCTATCACTGCTGTTCCCACGGCTCTCCAGAGGATGGATGGCTGTCAGGGCCCTCAGTGGCCATCTGTCCAGTCCCCTCACTGAGTTGAGCAAGCCAGAGCCCCGAGACGGGAAGTGACTGGCCCAGGAGCACACAGCTCTCTTGCTCTTAGTTTCCATGTTCTATGCCAGACTAAGAAGGGACACCGGGAGAGAAAAGTGCAGCTAGCACATGCAGCCTGGGGTTGTTTGCAGACAGATGCAGTCAACTTTCAGTTTGCCCCTTGCCTTCCCCATACTGACTACTGAATAATTTTAAGTCAGGCCTCAGGCTGTGGACTTATGCAGCAGGTCCTTTATTCTTTTAAAATGTTTTTTGGTTAAGCCTTTCTAATTTGGTTTCCTTTTGGCTGGTATTAAAAACTTCGCCTTTTCTGAATTCAGGAATTTCTTCATCAGCAACGTGAGGTAGCGATGCCCACCTTGCTGGTCTGGGGGGGGCGGTGGTTACCTGGGGGCCCCTCACTCCCAGCACAGGCAGCTGGAGACCTTTCTCACCGAAGGCCTACCTGTCCTCACTCATGTGGTCTCCTCGTAGCTCCCCGGAGCTCCCGGCCCACTTACCTACTGCCCAGTGCAGACAGAGGGCTGGGCTCTGGCCAGTGGGTGTGGGTTTGGTGTGGGGGTGGGTGGAGAGCAGCCTGCTGAGCTATTCTCTCGCCCTTCAGGAGAAGGTGGATGAGGAGGGCCTGAAGAAGCTGATGGGAAATCTGGATGAGAACAGTGACCAACAGGTGGATTTCCAGGAGTACGCGGTTTTTCTGGCCCTGGTCACTATCATGTGCAATGACTTCTTCCAGGACTCCCCAGACCGGCCCTGAAGCAGAGCTCTTACTCTGCCAAGGGCCTCCTGGCCTACGAGGACTCTAGCTTTCCTTTTTGTATTCAATAAACTTTTCTGTTGATGGTATTCTAATTGCTCAGTGATGCCCCATACCCTGGTCAGCACAATTGGGGTGCTGGAAAACCAGAGCCTCCTTAGATCCTACCTCCCCTGGGCCCTGACTCTTTTCTGGAAATCTCCTCAAGGCCAGAGCTATGTCCTAGGTCCCAGACTTTGTGATTTTAAATACCATTAAAAAATTGAGATAGTTTGCTAACTTTTTTTTCTTTTTTTGCCAAATAAAGATATTAAAAAAGGCAAATCCCATTCACAATCACCATCATTTCATAAAAAGATAAAATTCCAACAAAGGAGGAAGGATATACTCAGAACAAAGGACAGGCCTTGACATTCAATGCTGTGAACAGTTGTACTCAGAACTGCTCAAGAGGTATACATTGGTCTGAATGACCCGGCACACCTCCCATGAAGGACCTCTTGCCAGGTTTCAGGGCATCAGCAGTGGCCCTGTTTTAGCAAAGTTGTATTTTTTTTTTTTTTTTTTTTGATATCTGCTCTCAGATTGGCTTTCGTGTGAATTCATCCTTCTCTGGTCTCTGTTGGAAGCTACCAAGCTCATTCCTATCAGCATCCTGATTGTTTTCTACCATGTTCTCTAAGCTTGTATAGTGAGGTTGCATCTGTTCTGCACCCTATGTCCAATCAGGTGACAGCCTAACCAAGTGCTTTGTCACTGCCTAACAGGGTCACCGACTTTCCAACTAGCAAAGTTGAGGTCTGTATATATTTTTTTAAGATTTTATTTATTTATGAGAGAGAGAGAGAGAAAGAAAGAGACAGAGAGAGAGAGAGAGAGAGAGAGAGAGGCAGAGACACAGGCAGAGAGAGACACAGGCTCTATGCAGAGAGCCCAACGTGGGTCTCCATCCCGGGTCTCCAGGATCAAGCCCTGGGCTGAAGGTGGCGCTAAACCGCGAGCCACCTGGGCTGCCCGAGGTCTGCATATTTTATTCTGTCCTCTCTTCAATTAATTACATACATTAGGTTTTCTCTCTCTCTCTTTCTCTTTCTTTTTAATGGGTCCCACTCCTCGTTACCAAATTCTCTACAGTTAGGAATGTATTCAGTTGTAAGGCACAGGAAACCTAACAATGGGATAAATAAATTGGCATTTTAGTGCCTCATTAAATAAGTCTGAGATATGCAATTCAGGTTTGGTTAAGTGACTCAGAGATGCTGTTTGGTTACCTGCACAAAGTCACCCAACACTTGGTGAATTAAGACAGATTCATTTTCCCTCCAGGTTCTGTAAGGGGACCACGATCAGTCAGTGGGGTTCTCATTTGGAATTCCTCATGTGGTTTCAGATGGATGTTGGAGCTGGAGTCATCAGAAAGTTCCAATCAATTCAACTTCTGAGGTAGCTCACTTAATATGTCTGGCAACTGCTGCTGGTTGTAAGCTGGGAGCTCAGCTGAAACTGTCATCTGGACCTCTCTATGTAGCTTGGACTTCTCAGAGCATGGCAGCTAGGTTCTGATAAGGAGTGTCCCTTGAGTGAGTATCCCAAGAGGTCCCAATGGGGGCTATGAGACTTTCAAGATTTGTCTCGGAAACCCAAGAATATCACTTCTGCTGCATTCTATTCATCAAGCAAGTCATTAGTCTGGCCCAGATTTAAGGTTCCATCTTTTCATGTGAAGAGCAGTAGCACAAAATCGACACTGGCCACCTTTGGAGACTGTATACCATAGTCTGACTTCTAGCAACCATGTGTAGAATGCACATGACCTACCATGTCTTACCCTATTAAGGCATCCTTCCTTAGACCTACCAAGTCTCACCCCATTAAAGCATCAATGTGAGGTCCAGGGTCTTCCCATTATGTCAGCCCCAAGTTTGGGTGTTGCTGAGTACAGCTCCTTGAGAACAATTCCCCTGGACCTGAAGACCTATGAACAACACATTCAACGCACAAAGGTGAGATAGGTAATAAACACACCTAGTCTAAAAGGAGTGGTGGTGGATTGAGGGCACGAAAGTGTCATTGGCTCATAGCAATTCTGAATTTGAGTTGGATGTGTGCCACCAGAATCTTGATTAGGGCCAGTTTTGCTCCCTATAACTGATTCTTCATGGGTCCACTTCCTAAGCTCTTGATTTCATTCTCTTTAACTCTTTATTTTTCCATAAGAAATGTTTGTGTTGGGCCCCTGGGTGGTTCAGTCTGTGAAGTGTCTGCCTTTGGCTCAGGTCATGATCCCAGGGTCCTGGGATCGAGCTCCATATCAGGCTCCCTGGTCAGTGGGGAGTCTGCTTCTCCCTCTGCCTCTCCCCCTGCTTGTCTCTCTCTAAAACAAATAAATAATGTCTAAAAAAAAAAAAAAAAAAGAAATGTCTGTTTGTAGCTTTCTTAGCTGTCTCCTGCCCAAAGGAAGTTGACAACCCAAAGCTTCTTTTGTTTGCACCATCTCTATGATTTTCAGCCCAAGATTATGTAATTCCTTTAAAAATGTTGTGGGGGGGCATCCCCAGTGGCTCAGTAGTTTAGTGCCACCTTCATCCCAGGGTGTGATCCTGGGGACCTGGGATTGAGTCCCACGTTGGGCTCCCTGTATGGAGCCTGCTTCTCTCTCTGTCTGTGTCTCTGCCTCTCTCTCTCTCTCTGTGTCTCTCATGAATAAATAAAATAAACTCTTAAAAAAAATGTTGTGAGCTTTCTGTGTATCAACTTATAATTCATTTGATTAGACAAAAGCCACACTAGCTAACCTCCCAGAGACCAGCCCCTCCCTCCCTTAGATGGACAACCAGGGAGCTCTAATCTGAAAGGCACACTTGTGAATTATTAGAAGCCAACTTGTTTATCCAAGAAGATCTGTGAGACTTGCCTTTAAATCTTTCCAAGTCTATACCTTTGACTTCGTTTTTACCTGGTGTCCTTCTCTATTGGTGAGGCCCTGCATTTGACTTTGCCCTGAGGCCATTTATCACTTTGAGAACCATGCTGGCCTTTAACAAAGACTGTTCTGGGCCCTCTATACTTCTTCTGAAAAACCTGAGCTGTTCCTTCTTAGGTCATTTCTTTCTTCTCATATTTTATCATGGGTGTCAGAATAAGTAGGCCCTTTCAGCATTCTGTCTAAACATCTCCTTAGCTGGATCATGAGTTCATTAGGTACTCTTTCTATTTTCCCGTTACCATAGAATTCCCAGACATTCCACAACTACCTACCTTTCTGAAGAAAGGTCACCCTTTCTTCAGCCTTCAGTAATAATTTCCTCACTACCCTCTAAATTATTCCTGTGAACCTCTTTGAGGTGTTCCTAGCTTTCACTTATTGCCTGCTCCCAAAGCCAATGGCACCTGCTTCAGGTTTGTGTAACAGCATCATCCCTTCTTGCAAGGAACCAGCTCATACTAACTTACTAAGCTTTTCCTACCACTTCCTCTATCACTATGTGTAGTTTCCATTTGGTCTGCATCCCCAAGATACATCAATGAACAGTTCAATGAAATATTTTGTCATTTCATAACAAGGGTCCCTGGCTTTCCAGCCTGGACTAATTGGGCTCTTGTATCTCTCTATCTTCCCTCCTCCACATAGCCAATTCTACATTTGATTCTTTTATTTGAGGACTGCACTTTCAGATGTAAAATTCTCTACCAGTTTGGAATGTATTCAGCTCTGAGTTGCAATAACCTGACGAATAAGTGACTTAAATTATCTTATATAACAAGTCTGGGGTGGGCAGTTCAGGGTTGGTTCAGGGGTGCAGAGATGCCACATGACACCAAGTGTCTTTTCAGTTTTTTTGCTCTGTAACCTATAGTATATATGCTTTCTGCCTCGTGCATGCTGTTTCATGATCACAAGATGGCTGCTGTACCTCCAGGTCTGTGTTCCAGTCTGGAAGATAGAGGAAGGGTAAGGTGCAAAAACCTTTTCCTTAGACTTTGCCTTTTTATTATGCAAAAACTAGTCTCTCCAAGGATTTCCACTTGCATCTCTTTGATCTTAAAGATATATTATGGCTAGTCCTAGCTGCAACCAAGTATTTTCACCAGGGCATGTGAAAGAAAAAAATAGTTTTTTAAAGTTTCTATCTATCTATCTATCTATCTATCTATCTATCATCTATCATCTATCATTTGATAAATAAAATGTGAGAGTGAGCACACATATGCGGGAGCAGAGGGTGGAACAGAGGTGGAGGGAGAGGGACAAGCTGACTCTGTGCTCAGCACAGAGCCCAATGCAGGGCTTTGCGATCTGGTCTCAGGACTTTGCGATCACAACCTGAGCGAAGACCAAGAGTTGGCCACTCAACCTACTAGCCATCCAGGTGCCCCCAAAATGGGTTTTAATAATAAGGAGAGACAAGAATGGACAGTGGACAAGCAATTGACAATATTTTCCTGAACTGTCTGGGAGCTGGGAGAGGCTGAATAAGGAACAGTGTTGGGACTTTACCCAGGTCTGTAAGAAAAGGCCTCACTTCTATGGGACATGGGATACGGAGCAGGGGTCTGGGCCTTCCTCCTTTTCCCCTGCCCACCTTTTCCGCTGCCCCTGTCCTTTGGCTTTGGGATGCCTGGGTGACTCAGTGGTTGAGCGTCTGCCTTTGGCTCAGAGCATGATCCCGGAGTCCCAGGATCAAGTCCCACAATGGGCTCCCTGCATAGAGCCTGCTTCTTCTCCCTCTTCCTGTGTCTCTGCCTCTCTCTCTGTGTGTCTCTCATGAATAAATGAATAAAGATGGTATTTTAAAAAAATAAATGAAGCTTAGGCTTTGTGGGAAGGGAAGGGGACCTGGGTAAGCAGAGTCCAGATGTTCTTGGACTCTTTTTTTTTTTTTCATTCTTGGACTCTTGATGAATCAAGGGGAAATACGGCTTATTTGCTGGTGGTCTGGATGCTCACAGTGGACCCTGGCTTTTTCTGGGGCTCAGTTCCCCATTCTTGGGCTGTTTTGTCTTGTGGAGACTGGCCTCAGCTGGCTGGGCACTGAATGGGGCTAATTTCTTTTCCTTATGCACATCTGAGAGGCTTACAAACACTAGA